TGGGAATAACATCCATCCAAACGTAGGTAAGTTAAAAAGGGAAAAAAAGATTCCTGACAGGAATGTTTTAATCCGTGAACTAAACGGGGCCTTATGTTTTGAATCGTTTGACCCATTTTTGCAAAGTCTAGATTACTTGGTTCAATTTTTGTTTATTTTATTTGTATTTGGACCACTAGGCCTATTATATCATATTTTAAAGGATAAACTATCAGATTGATTTGAAAAATATATATTCACTTATATTATCGTTTTTTTAAGTTTTTTTAACCGAATGTTGAATGTCGATAATTTGATGACGTGGAGTGAAATATTAAAAAAAAGGGTTATTTGAACCATCCATTGTTATCTATTTAAATAGTCAACTCTTTTATAACAAATTAGGTGAGTAATTAAACTCAGCTCACATCGTCAATGACATAAGCCTCAAGTTATTTTAAATCAACTGAAATCAGCAAGCAGGCATCATCTTATGCCCACCTACTCCCATCCCTTCATATTCTAGTTTTGGTTTTCATTTAGAACTGCAAATCATTAAGCTTCAAGTATATCAATGGATGAATCCGTTTGGCGAATTCAGTAATAAAAGAAAACAGTTATTTTTTCTAGAGATCTTGAGTTCGAGCAACTGCGTTTGTAGGATATACGTGCGTTGTCAATAGGTTAAGAAAGTTCTAAACAAATACTTCCTTATAATCACTCCGATTTTTCGGAAAAAAAAGTATAACAATGGATAGTGGTAGAAGAGAAATAGAAGAAGTAGGCAAAAAAGGAGGAGAAGGGATGGGAGTATGTGGTGTTGAGTCCTGGCTCTCGGTTGTTTCTTGAACCAAAAACCAGGTGTTGCGTTATAGTCATGATGGGATGCAAGACTAGTATTGATCCTGTGATTCTCAAACGGGGACTAAACCAGACTCTGCTTCGCCATCCTCGTTTCTCCTCCAAGTTGCTCGTAAGAAATTCAACTCAATCTCTCTTCTTCTAGCCCTCCCCCCCCCCCTTTTTACATGTTTAGTATTGGTTTTGAAAAGTGTCATGTAGAAATGTTTTTAAGAAATTATTTTAAATTAGAATAAATTGTGTTTAGTCATCCAACTATTCGTAGTTTCGTTTTGATCACTTAACTATTTCTTTTTTAAAAGCGTCACTATTGTTGAGATCCATTAATTGATCCAGTGGTCAAGGATGATCATGTTGTAGCACCCTGTGTGAGCTTGAATCTCGTTATTTTTTTATGATTAGTGACCAAAATGAAATCAAAACGTAACGTTAGTGATGATTTAAAAATATGTTGGTGATCAAAACGGAACCAAAGTGACAGTTAAGTGACTAAATACGGGTTTATCCTTTAAATTATTTGACAACGTTTAATGTTCCTGTCAAAAAGTACTTTCAAAAAAATAAATAATCATTTTAGACATTATATTATAATTTAATAATTTAAATTTAAAGGATATTTAAATTCTTTAATGTTAATGTATAAAGAATGGTATTAAATTAAGGCTAAAAGAGTCAATTAACTGGAATTAATGTGATGATTTCTAGTCACTTTTAGTCCTTCTTTCAGTCTATAAATACAGAATTTTTGTACTCACTTCAATCCATTCAGACACAAATCTGTCTTAAAAGTTCTTTAAATTCTTTCTTTTATTCAAAGTTACGAGAAGAATAGTTTTATCAGTTTCTGCTCTAGATTTTGAGTGTATAAATTTTGAAGCATCATGTTAATCTCACGAGACAACGTTTATTTCGAAGATTAAATTAATCATGACGATTTTACTTTTTAGATAGTGATTTTTCCACGACATAGTTAAAACGTTATTTTGATTTCATTAATTTATTTCCGGTCGGTGCTATCATTTTATTTTACAGTAGTATTATTTTCGACGGATATATCTTCCAATGCATTACTATGTTCTGAAAATATTATTAATAGGTGATTAACGGGGTCAAAAAGAAATGGGTTAAGACACAAGTAGATTTGGACAACCATGTTATAGTCCCCGTGGTAGACACTAAAATGGAGTCTCCAACCCTGTTTATTGAAGACTACATCTCACATCTCACCACAATTCCTATGGACATCTCCAAACCATTGTGGGAGCTTCACATTCTCAACCTTAAAAAGCTGGAGGCCGAGGCCGTCGCCATCTTGCGGATCCACCATTCCATGGGTGACGGCATGTCTCTCATTTCTATTCTATTCGCTTGTTGCCGGAAGTCATCCGATCCTGGAGCCTTGCCTACTCTTCCGATGCAAAAACAGGTCGATTATCGGAGAAACTGGAGAGATATTTGGTCAGTGTTAAGGCTAATCTCGAACACGGTGTTGGATCTTTCGGTGTTTATGGCGGCAATTTTGTTTATGAAAAGACACCAAGACTCCTATAAAAGGATTGTTCGGCGTTGAGCATAATCCGAAGAGGATCGTCCACCGAACAGTGAGTTTGGACGACATAAAACTAGTGAAGAATGCGATGGACATGGTACATTTCACTCTAATTAACCTTCACTTGTATTAAATGATTTCCAAGTACATATCTTGAAGATGATAGGCTTGATATTTACTAGACAGTTAACGATGTCATGTTGGGAATAACTCAAGCTGGTCTCTCACGATATCTAAATCGAAAATATGGTGAGTTTTTTTAATTTGGTGTGAAGTAAAGAATTATTGATATTTAGAATGTTATTAATTGAGCAGGTGAAGTTGATACCCAAAATCTTCCCATAAACATCCGACTGAGAGCAACTGTTTTGGTGAATATCAGAAAAGCTGTAGGGATCCAGGCAATGGCTGAGATGATGAGGAAGAAATCAAAGTAACCTTCACTTGTATTAAATGATTACCAAGTACATATCTTGAAGATGATAGGCTTGATATTTACTAGACAGTTAACGATGTCATGTTGGGAATAACTCAAGCTGGTCTCTCACGATATCTAAATCGAAAATATGGTGAGTTTTTTTAATTTGGTGTGAAGTAAAGAATTATTGATATGTAGAATGTTATTAATTGAGCAGGTGAAGTTGATACCCAAAATCTTCCCATAAACATCCGACTGAGAGCAACTGTTTTGGTGAATATCAGAAAAGCTGTAGGGATCCAGGCAATGGCTGAGATGATGAGGAAGAAATCAAAGGCCAAATGGGTTAATAAATTCGGATTCATTTTCATCCCTTTCACCATTGCATTACCAATTGATCCTTTAGATTACCTTCGTCAAGCTAAAGCAATCGTCGATAGGAAAAAGCTCTCCCTCCAAGCTTTCTGCACATACATGACCAACAATGTCGTCGTTAAGTTATTTGGATCCAAGGTTTCTGCATGTTTGGCATATAGAGTATTTTCCAACACTACAATGTCCATATCAAATGTTGTTGGACCACTGGAAGAAATTAGCTTCTTTGGTCATCCCATTGCTTTCATCGCTCCCACTGTTTATGGCCATCCACAGGTATCTATCTCTATAGTCTATATTGGATAAACTGCATAAATGAACACTGAAATATGAATAAGTTCTTTTTTTTCTTCCACTGAAGTTTTAAAAGTAACAAAACGGTTAAACATTATTGACAAGTAACAAAACAATCATCGTCGTTTATGCAATTTACCTTTTTTGGGTGTAAACTACATATTTTGTCACTCAAATATTCATGTGGGTTCCATTTTGGTCAATTAATTATTTCTTTTTTAAAATCATACATAACGTTATGTTTTGGTTTCATTTTGGTTACCAGACATTAAAAAATTAACGGCGATGTTATCGTGTCACTCAAGGGTAGACCGATAGGGGCCGAGTGGGGGGCAGTCACCCCTGAAAAATTCAAATCCCTATATACTTTAGATATTTTCTTTGTATTTTTTGTTGAAAATCTATTTTTACCCTTCCTAAATTTTTTAAGCTCGTCTCCCTCTTAAAATTTTAGAAGTTCGCCAACTTTAACATAAAATCTTGCGTATATCCATGGTGTCACCATAAGGTAAGGTCATGTCATCATTGATTTTTTTTTAAATGACATATCCATAGTTCTGTTAATTTTTTCACGAATGATGACCAACATAAAACTAAAACGGAACGTTAGACATAATTTTCAAAAAATAATAATATGACCAAAATGAAACCATTTGAATAACTAAATGACTAAATACGTAGTTTACCCTTTTTCTCTGTTCGAAATTATTAAAGGTGTGTTTGAATTTAATGAATTGCAGGCTTTGACCGTTCATTTCCAAAGCTATGTTAATAAGACGAGCATTGTTGTAGCAGTTGATCCGAGTCTGATTCCTGATCCTCACCTTCTTTGCGACGATTTTAAGAATGTCTCAACCTCTTTAAAGATACCATCCTAAGAAACGACGCTCTTTGCTAAGCCGAGGAAACGATGAAGCTTAGTTGACTCAAATTAGGGGTGTGCAAAATTATTCGATTCAAATTTAAACATAACTCGAGATTAAAATTTAGTATATTTGGTTTGAACCCAAAATAACTTGTATTCGTTTTATGATCAGATTTCAACTTGCCTACTTGACCGAACATCGAAGACGAATAAAAGATATTATAAATGCCATTATTCTCGAAAATGTATTGATATTTTGCATAATATAACAAATTGGTTTTATACATAATACATGTACTAATACAAGTAAAATAATAATAAATGTGAATCCGTCAAATGACCTCAGTGATAAAATAGAATATTGATCGCCCTGGAGATATGGGTTCGGGCAATATCATTAGTTGGGTGTGTATGCGTTGTTAATAAGTTAAAAAAATTATGAACAAATATTACCTTATAATCGTCTTATTCTATTAAAAAAACAATAACAACAAATTCAGTAAGTACATTTAATTGCTAAAAAGCTATTTATCTTGTAAATTTCATCTTATTTTGTATTATTCTTAAGGTCATAGCTGATTTTTTCTAAGGTCAATTTTGATTGAACGTTAAATTTGGTATATATCCCTTTCAATATGTTGTTTTCCTTACACATTTATATGGCTGAAGTCTCGGTTGAAATCTTCAAACTCACGTCCCATGACATCCATTACCTATATATAAACCCCTTACAAGGTGTTGCCAAGTATCCTATTCCTGATATAGCTAGAGCCATGGCAATAATCTCCGAGGTCAAACAAGAAGGTGCGAAGCCCTCCGCTTCTTCACCGCCTTCTCGTAAACCGGCATTGTTCAACGCGAGCTTCGATTCATCGAACACTATCGGTTTCCTAGAGAAAGTTTTTGATTTCGTTGCGGAAGAGAGTGATTTTCTTGGAAAACAGAACATGGATAGCGAGGTCGCGGCGGTTGTGAGAGTTGCCAAGGAGAAGTATTGCAAGAAAAAGATTGAAGCGGAGGAGAAAAAGAAAAAGGAGAAAGAGAAGATGAAAAAGGAAGCGGTAAAGGAGCCGACAAAGGCCCATGGAAAGGATAAACAGACTAACCCTAACTTAAGAGGTTCATATTTCTACATTTTTTTCCGCACAGAAATTATTTTGTTTTATTAAAAAATTCGCAAACAATAGATATAAAATGATCTCCAAAAGAATTCATATAAGGTGAACACCTTAATCAAACTAATAAGGTTCTTTTAATCATCTTCTCCTTCTTGTTGTTATTAATAATAATAATGCTCTTGATTTTAAATGGTTGGACAGCTCCAAACAAAGGTAATGGCCTTGATTTTGAGAGATACTCTTGGACTCAGACCATACAAGAGGTCACTGTTATTGTTCCAGTTCCACCTGGAACAAGATCAAAGTTAGTGGATTGTGAGACGAGGAAGAGCTATCTAAAAGTTGGACTCAAGGGCCAACCTCCTGTTATTGATGTAAGTTGGTGTTTATGCTTTCAAATAGCTCTTACCAGATATTTAAATTACGGTCACGGCCATATTTTTAGCTACATTGTGTTATTACGATTATTACGGATATTAAAGTTGTACAAATAGCAGTTTCAGATGATATTATTACCGTTATATGACGACCACTATTTCGATAGCGAACTACTATTTGAATCCAAGACTCCTACTTGGCTAACATCAAAGAAGCATATTTCTTTTATTGTCAGGGATACCTTTTCCAAGTGATAAAACCTGATGATTGCTACTGGAGCATGGGTATGATTTATGCTGAATTCCACATTGATTTTTAGAATATGGAATGTTGTTAATCTAAAAATCTTAGCACACATATTGCAGAGGATAATGATTCAATCTCAATCGTTTTATCGAAGCAAAACCAATTGGAGTGGTGGAAGTGTTTGATTAAAGGAGAACCAGAAATCGACACAGGAAAAGTTGAACCAGAGAGCAGCAGAATATCCGACTTAGATCCCGAAACACGACGAACCGTGGAGAAGCTCATGGTACTTACTTTTCGTTTCTCTTTAACATATCTAATTGCATTTCTACTTCTTTTATGATCTATTGCATTGTGGTTTTTTTTTATTATTATTGAAAATAATATTACTTTAAAATGAAATGTTAGCAATGATCGGAACAAACTAATGGAAATAAAATAAAGTCTTGACTCTGTCGTAGAGGAAAAATTACCTTAGTAGTAAAATCGTCCTGATTTAAGTAATCCTTAAAATGGACGTGAGGATAGACCAAGGGGGACGTATAAGATTTAACTTTATATTCTTTAACATTTCTTAACATTGTTTACATCATAGCCTTCATCTATGGTTGTTGACAACCTGTGGTACTGTGTAGTTTGACCAGAGGCAGAAGGCAATGGGGCTTCCAACAAGTGATGAGATTCAGAAACAGGCACTGCTAAAGCAGTTCATGTTGCAGAATCCTAATATGGACTTCTCAAATGCAAAGATCATGTGAATGGGAGGCTGTAAGTGTCACCATTCGTATCCATTCAAGTTTCCCTCTGGATTCTCCTCCATTTTGGGAGCCACAAATACAGAAATCAGCTTTCTGTTAGTTTTATTTTCTAATTTCGGGGCATGGGCTCTTATTCATTTAAAAATGTAATTTAAGGTTTTAGCTGTTGTTATCTTAAATAAAGTTTCCAATCTTCATGCGCATTATCTTACTTACAAATATAATTATTTTCCTAATATATATAGGAAAATGTTTCGAGGTTAAAGTTTTGACGTCCTTCTATCTTACTAAAGAATTCAGGATAATATTATTTTCAAAGGCGAGGTATTTATAAGGGACAGAAAACTAAAACGGATAGCATCTAAAAGGTTTAAATATTAAAAAAAATCGAGAAACACATGTTTATGTTAGTCGTGTTTTTCAAATTTAAATTTAACTCATAATTAAGTGTTTTATAAGTATGAATCAAACTATCTAAGTGATTAAGAGTGTTATTATTTCATGAGATATCGGATTCGAACAATTTATATGTGTAGATATGAATATTCAATATCAAAATAACTGGGAATCTTATAAATGTAGTGATTAGTAACTATTTTACTCAAAAATAAAATTATTTAGGGTCAAAGTTCTCCGAAAAATAGAAATCAAAATTACTATTTAATAAACGTAAATTTTTTTTATCATATCAATAAAAAAAACGGGAACAAACAAGAAGTGGCATTAGTATTAAATTTATTCATTTTTTGTTTGTCTTTTCTTGGTCCCGAAGAATCCATGAAGTGGCATCAAGTTTGGGGTCCCATTTACCAATATGCCATTTACTACATCGAGTTAGTTTCTTTTAAAAGAAGCCATCTTAGTTTGAACAGAAAGGGAATAATTATTAGATTGTTTGATTCCAATTTGAGACAAAGACAAAGACAAAGACAAAGTGAGGCAGCAACAACACTTGTATCATAGAGATGGATTAGGAGGGTGAAAGGAGACAGTCATCATCTAAAATTTTTAAATTCTTTTATGTTTTAAATTTTTTTTATGTGTATATCTATTTTTGTTCTTAAAATTTTATAAACTCGCTCCTAACATAAAATTATGCGTTTGTCCATAGGTGTCATAATAAGTAAAGCAAATGCTTCATAGCTACCAATAAGGTGGTTAGATTCAGTTCACTTCCTCCATTAACAAATGTAAAGTTTTCTTTTTCAAGTCAGCTAAAAGGGAAATGTACTGCCCAATTCCATTGTTCTCCAAAATGAAAATGGATGCAATCAGCTAAGACATTTTCTGGTAAAGTCCACTGCAAAAATAGCGGCTGTGTCAAGTGGTGGGACTGAATTGAACCATTTTCACATTATTTTTTTATGTCAAGTGCTGCCCTACGACATGACACAGGCATCGAATTTGTAACATGTGTAGGTTAACTATTCTTTTCCAAAGTCAACATAGTTGAAGTTAGATTAAGTTAGATTCAATAAAAAAAATTGTCTAAATAATACTTTTTTTCTTATTTAGGTGTTTAAATTGCAATCTCGACGGCCATATTGACGGCAAAGATGACGGTGTCTAAAAGGGAGATGATAAGGACATCATCGATGGCAGTGGTCGTGGCTGGTAAGAGAGATGATATGTTAGGGTTAGGGATTTTGGGGTTGATTTTAGAAATTTTTAGGGAATTTTTACTTTTTTTGTAATTTTAGAAAAAAAATAAGATTTTTAATATAATATTATTTTAAGTTTTATTTAAAAGCATTAAATTTTCAAAATTACTTGAATGTTGACACCTGTTACGGTGGAAACACTTAAAATGGTAATGTTTGTAACGTTAGACACCCGGATTGACCAAAAAAAGTTTAGGCACATAAATGAGAGAAAAAAATATAGTTTAGACACTTATATTTATCTTAAGCGATTAAATTAATAGAGGATTAAGTTATTCAATTTTTAAAAATAATTAAATTATAAAAATGAAGAGAATAGAGATTTGATTTCATTAATTTTAAAATGAGTAGAATCTTAAAAAAAAATCATGATTTAATTTTAATTATTTCGAACCTATTAGTGATTTAAAATGATAACTATCAAAGTTTGGAAGGCCCTGACCCCTCCCACCAACAAATGTGCCTATGTCCACAGGCACATATGCAATCCTGTGGTTTTCGTTTTAATAGTTGTTACTAAATTTTATCACACTTGCAACGTGGGCGAATGAAACTATTTAATCGAAAGATGTATTTTTGAAAATTTGTTCAACAAATGATCATAGATTAAGTGATAAAAGATTTGTACCTTGTTTCATTAATCTCGTATTTTAATTTCAATTTTTCATTATTTTATCTAAAAATTATATAAAAGTATAAAAATATGAAAAATACTCTTATAATATTATTAATTGTAATTTAAGATAAGACTATCTTAATTATTTCCTGACCAAATCGATATCTAATTAACATTTGATACCAGCCGAATTAAGGACTTCATAATATGCTAAATGTTTACATTAAAATTTAAGCGTAATAAATCTATATTTGTTATATAAAAATGTTGAAATGTTATTTTTATTCATCGAATAGAATAATAATTTAGATTTCAATGTTTCTAATTGGAGGAGAAGCCTCACTCTACAGTGTCCGTTAGAATTTCGACTTTCCAAACGTGGGAAATTTAAGGATATATCTTATGGCACTGCCACGTGGCCACCCCAAAGTGTACAATGCAATGGCATCACTGAAAAGAGGCACATTCCCTGTGCCCCACCTTTTTTGTTTTTTTGTCAAAGTTTCAATGAACAAGGTTGAAATTCTCCACCAAACTGTACAATGCAATGTTTCTAATTATATCTTATTTTATTAAAGGTACATAAAGTTGTCTTGCTTATTTAAGTGCTACATCCGAGGCCAAACACCCAACCAAAAATTCTCAATCTACCATTTTGGCTGCTCTGCTTTTATTGCTCTACGTTTTTCCTAGTGAGTCATGTCTCTCGTTCATTGTTTGAATTCTGAAGAATCGAGGAGAGTGTGCTTTGTGGACGAGAACATGTACGCAGAAACAGGGCTGTTTTCCTCTTACATGCACAACTTTTCTCAGGATTTTCAGCAGTTTGAAGATGGCTTCAAAACCCAGAAATCCAATGCTTTCACAGTACTAAATATCTCAATCTCTGTCGTTGATTTCTTTATCTCACTTCCCTTGTTCTCTTCTCTTTAATGTTCTCTGCATTTGTTTGACTGAGTCTAGTTTTGTTTACCTGAATTTGAAGAATTGAGTATCCTCGAGTCATTTCTGGAATTTTCTGTTTCATATTCCCTTGTGATGACAGAAAAAAGAAAAGTGATTTGGAAGCTTCAGCCATGATGCTGTATGCCTCTTAAAACACAGTCTCAGCAACCATCTGAAATCAGGGATGGACGGAGGTGGACAGTTAGAACAGTCGTCTCCAAAATTTTCAATTTATCATATATTTTAATTTTTTTTATATTTTCTATTGATAATAAAAAATTTATAAAAATTCATAAAATTCTGTGTGACTGAAATGAAAGTATATTGGCATGCTGGATCAGTTAAAAAAAAGGAAAGAAAACAAAGAAAAAGTTGGAAAATGATTTCCATGTCATGGGTTCCTTGTTCTTGAAGATTCTATCCAATTTCTTCAACTTTTGGTGTGAACTGGCTATTGGGGTTTTCACTTTTCAAGCCATTTATACACAGAGAAAAGGAAAAAGCAACTATTTTTTGTTCTTTGATTTGTTTGAGCGTAAATGGGAAAGAAGAGCATATTAAAATGAGCCAAGTTGGGTGTCTGTTGATGACATTTACACTAGAATCTAGAAGTTTTATGTAGGGCAATTCAGAATCTGTACAATTAATAATGTTTGTTTGTATTTCTTGATGCCTAATGCAGAATAATTCGGTTCGGGTCTCGACGATATCGGAGTACGACCTTGGAGGAGAAGGTGATCTGTTCAAAGCTCCGGAACCCATCATTGAAGAACTAGGTGACATCTCATTAATGTCCCAAGGACTCAAGGCAGCAGATGTTGAATCAATCCAAAATGAGCAGCTTTTAGAGGTTATCTATGAGTGTGAAAAGGATCTGATGGCACAAGCCGTGATAGAAACACCACTTTCCGACGTCCTTGATCTTCTGAAGACTGACGAAAACCGATATCTTCGAAGTGAAGTGCACTGCGATACCGATATGTTGTTACCGTTCCAGAAGAGTGTCAGCTCGGGTTGTTTAAGCTCAATGGAGTGGATGAAAGGGGCCGTGATCAAGCCTAATTTTCTGGATTTCCCTGGAATGGAATTCGGTCCTGCTTTCGGAATGAGGAGAGCATTTAGTGAAGGAGATATACAGGTTAGTATCTTAAAACTAATCTGATTCAAGACTTGATTTCCGATGCACCATAGTTTAGGATGTCAAGAATTCAAACATGTTCTTTCTTTTGCTTGGAAAAATACAGTGTTTCCTTTGACAAAACTCAACAGCATTATGTCACTCGTCAACTTAAAGTTGAGAATTGAGCATCTGTGTCTTTGAAACGTCTAGCAACTAAGAATCTTTTAGATGTTTTTGGTCATTGGTATTGAATTATTATGACAGACTCTTGGCAATGGTAATGTGAGCACCATCCGCTCGTCTCCGGAGCGACCGATAATTGTCAGCAGCTTTTCCGCCGAGGATCGAAGGGAAAAGCTTTCCAGATACAGGAATAAGAAGACAAAGAGGAACTTTGGAAGGAAAATCAAGGTATTTCATTCCCCATGAATAGCTCTTGCATTTGTTCCCTAGCTTTTACAATCAAACAAGGAGGACATGTACAAACTTCCATGGTTAATTTAATGATCCTTTCCCCGACTTTTGTATCAAACTCGTGATATGTTTCGCTTTGTCCAGTATGCTTGCAGGAAGGCTTTGCTGATAATCAACCGAGGATCCGCGGAAGGTTTGCGAAGACTGAAGAATGCGGCAACTCCAAGAGGCATGAGTTGCTTGAGTAATAAGGTAATGGCAAAAATATCAGTAGTGTCAACTTG